TGTGTGTGTGTGTGTGTGTGTGTTTGCTTCGTTTTGATGCTTACTTCGATGACGCCAAAATGTGTGTGTGTGTGTGTGATATATCATCGTCTCTCTGTCTCTCTCTCTCTCTGTGTGTGTGTGTGTGATATATCATCGTCTCTCTGTCTCTCTCTCTCTCTGTGTGTGTGTGTGTGTGCGTGCCCGCCTGAGCGGCGTGTCCCTACGTAGGCACCCACGACACGCGCACAAAGCCTGCGCCTTGCTCCGCCTGACCGGGGCTTCCCTCTTTCGTTGCTGCTGTTTGTCGACTGCAGTGTTTTCGAACAGTGACCGTGCCTGCTTCGTATCCCCCTCCCCCCCGTCTGCGAGAGAGAGGTAAGGAATGAGCATCTCTGTGTGTGTGAAAACGAAGAAGTGAGGGGATGGTCTGAGAGACGGAGGGAAAAGAGTGATATTCTACGAGTGTGTGTCTGCGTGTTTGTCTATGAACAGGGGGGGCTGACACGCACACATATCGTTGGTGCTGCTGTGCAGTGGGGTGTTTCTCCCGGCTGTTGTGGTGCCTGCCTTGCTATCCTTTTTTCTCTCTGTTTCCCTCTCCGCACACACACACACACACACACATGTGCGCCAAATGCCGTTCGGCTGGAAGTAGCTTGAACCGACAACATACAGGCAATGGGGAGGGGCGGTGCGCGGGCTCCAGTGGAGGAAAAGACGCTCTTGGCCGAGCTGGGCAGGCTGTTCCACGTCGCACGCGCCAACGCTCGCGAGCAGCGCATCACAAAATCGACGGCCGGGGCAAAGCCCAAGACAGCCGTTGAGGCAGCGGCGAAGCGGCAGCACAAATCGCTGCAGCAGCGGCAACAAGAGGCGGTGACAGCGAAGAAGTCCCGCAAGAAGAATAGCACACNCGAAGCGGCAGCACAAATCGCTGCAGCAGCGGCAACAAGAGGCGGTGACAGCGAAGAAGTCCCGCAAGAAGAATAGCACACGTGGGGGGACTGTGTGGGTAATTCTTAAAGGTGGCTTCACGCGTGTGCCGTCAGCAGACAAGACCGCGGCTATTGCGCATAACAGCGTCTTCCGCGGTCGTCTCTCGGAGCGGCGCCGCGTTGAAGCACTCGAGGCGGCCGAGCAGTATGTGCAGACGGCGTGGCAGCAAGCGCAGGAGGCGGGCCTCCTCCTCGAGGATGGCAGCGGCCCGAGCGGTGACGAGGGTCTGCAGTACCTGCGCGAACAGTACGCTGTCGCCGCGGCGATGCTGCGGCGGGAGCCGGTGGGGGCGCAGCTGAAGCGGATGGTCGAGCAGACTATTCCCAGCAGCATGGCTGCGGCAGCGGCTGCGCCATCGAGCACAGCCGCGGCACGGCCGCGGTACGACAGGGACCAGTGGGCGGGTTTCATAGCACGAGAGAATGCCATCCTGAACCGCTTTGCGGCCGCGCCGTCTGCGGCTGCAGTGGACGCTGGCGATATCATTCTGCACGAGGCGTCGCAAGTGGCCACGCGGTNGGCCGCGCCGTCTGCGGCTGCAGTGGACGCTGGCGATATCATTCTGCACGAGGCGTCGCAAGTGGCCACGCGGTGCTATTTTACCACAGTAGAGCCGACCGTCCCACACGACCTCACAGCCGCGTCGGCGGCCGCCGCCGGGAGTAGCGAGGCGCTGCGTGGCGAGCACGCACGAGATGTGCTGCCATGCAAGTGCATTGTGCGCGTCCGTGGCAGTGGGAGACAGAAGCACACAGCCGTGCTTTCCACACCCAAGGCGGCGAATTATTTCAAGACAAACTTCATGCAGGTTGTGCGCAAGGAGGTTAGCGGCTCCAAGTTGCCCCGCGGCGAGGACACGACAGAGCTGAATCAACAGCAGCAGCAGCAGCACGTTGGCAGTGCTTCGGCTGCGGCTGACAATGCGGCCAGTAGCTCCTCTAAGAAGAGTGCGAAAAGACGGCAGAGATAATAGGCGATGCTTCTTCCATTCACGAAACGCGGCACACGCACACACCTGTGCATACATACACGCCCACTGCTGCCTCTGTTGGTGCTACACCTGCGTGCACATCACGGCGGTGCCTGCAAGGATGTCCACGCAGTGTGGTGAATTTTGGTTACCTAGGGGCTTGTTTGTAAATGTGTGTGAGTGTTTGTTTGCTTGTATGCGTCCGGAAGCATTGACCGTGCGTCTATATATATATATATATAT